TTGTTCACCCGTAGTAGGCTAGCATCAAGATAGGACAAGTAAGCGTCGTGTTCAAATCTCTCCTCTTTCACTGCCATGCATAACTTCATTGTGCAAGTCAGACTATGGGTTGCTTCTTACAACACTTCGATGTTGTCCGACACCTGGAGATCCCATTTAACTGGCTTCCTGGACTTCCTTCAAATTGTCGGGTTGAAGTACTCTCAATTCAGCCTTTAATTAGTGCTTATAATTTTACGGCTCGTAAGAAGAATTTCTTTAATGACTGTCAATGGTATAAGGCTTTTGACTGTTTCATTACATCAACGTGCTAATCACCTATCGCCCACCGACCCACTCACTAGCTCACTCCGCTCCAGCAAGCTGATCAATGCCACCCACACAAACACCTGGTCGTCAGACGCCTACTAATGCGTGTGGATGCTTCAATGATGCTACTAGTCTTTTCGGGCGCTTCGTGGTGGTGGTGGTGGTGCACACGAGGCGAGTTCGCACTTTGACCACCGCATGTCACTTTCCTATCACATTAAATCGTAGCTTCTTGCCTTCGAAAGACAGGAAGATGCGTTCCCTATGACGGCTGGTTGAGGTAGTAACCCCGTGCATACACTGAGAAGAAAGCTAAGGCAGAATAGGAGCTCCTCTATTCACCCACTTTGCATTGACGAACCTAGTACTCGTGCTTCGCTCTTGAGTAAGAATGAACAAAAACTACCTGAGGGCGCTTCACGCCTAGCCAGTGAGAGGTTTCTCTGCAGAACCAAATTGTTGGCACAGTGAGATATCGACGCAGCTAATTTCAAAAATCACAAACAGTGCATTCTGGACGTGCCGTGACCTCAACCTATGGATGCATTTTTAGTCACGAGCGCTGGAGCTAGGCCTTTGTGGTAAGATGCAACACTCCGGTGTGAGAAATTGCTCTGAAGTTGTGCACACAGGAGTGAGCAGACGAGCAATGATTAGACAAAGGAGAGGAAAATTAAGCGGCCGCGGTTATGGTGGGAACGTTCACGTCGCGTCAATCTTACCGGGCAAGCACTCAGTCGGAGATTGTGTTTTGTTGGTAGATTTTAGTCGCCTTCCTATGAAGCGGTTTTAACCCCTAAGTGGTTTTATTGCGCCTACCATGTCATTGGAGTTTGTCGTGTCCCTATTGGTGCCCTAAGGAGCATGTTCGATGGATCACCACCCCAAACCAATAGGCGCAAATCTGGTCTCACGTCATGCGGTGAATGATGTGATTGGCTGAGGCACAATGTCATCGACCAAAATTCTCTACTACGACAGATTTCAATCACTTGTAAATACGGTTACTTGTATGCCAATACAAAGGTATACGAGATCATACTTGCCTTTGCGGTTCGCTAGATTAGGACACAAAAGGAGACCATCTATAGGCTAATTCAATTGATCAATATATGTCCACTTCGACTTTTTAATGAGAGGATAAATTGCGATACACGCCCCTCCTCCACTAACAAAAAAGTCTTAGGTTAAGCAGACCCACTGAGAGATCCTTGTTAATACTTGCGCCTCAAATGGGCTGCCAATACCACCAGATTTTTAATAATTTATAAAAGAACTATTCCTCTATATTTACTTTAGCTTCAAAAATAATCTTGAAAGTTTGATTCCTCTCACATTCCCCGGAATGATGTTGCACGAACTCCTTCTTCACTCTTCTTTTCAACTGTCGCCTTTTAAATAAGCCAACCATATTGCTGCCCTTACTCACCATTGTAATTACTAACTCCATTGCAATCATTGTCCTTACCTCAAACCCGAAGCTAAGCAGCTCCTAATTATTCGCCTCTTTTCTATGGCAGTCATCCGCTTCATCAACCCTACCTTTAGCTCCAATGAAAGTACCCACCACTCACCCATTACGACATCTCGCTTGATTCTGCATCAATGGCCTGCATACATATATACATACACCCTCTTGCACACTTCGCAATTGAGGTCTGCAAGCAGATCATCTAACACGTTATCAAAAATTCTTCGTCAAAGTGTTGTGTGCATTGGTTTCGGATGGAACATTTCACACTTGGCGTTTACATCGGCGAAGTGTGGAGCAGACAGTAATTGCCTCCCTCATCTCAGCCCACCTTGATGCCGTCTCGGTGCCACTCACTGAGGTGACGTCACCCCTTCACCTGCGTGGAATGGACGCAGCTCCACTATCTCCTCCCGACAGCCAGCCACCTTATGTGGAGCAGGTGCTGTGCAGCGCATGAAGGGTTAGTGATAACCAGCTTTCACGAGTAAGACATGTGAATCTTTTGTCCATAATTATGATGTTGGGTTGAGGTCCTCCAGATAATACACTTGCTCCACATGCTTGTTTTACTTTCCTCATTATCCCGCTCGTAGAATCAACAATGGCGATTTGTCCACTCAATCACTTGCAGTGCCCAACTCCCGAATGCAGAATGCCTCAATGTGGAGCAGCAGCAGGCACCAAAACATTCATGATAGAAGCACAGACAGGCAGGTGATACTGGGACCAAATGACTAAAAGTGGTTGCTGCCTTTTAGAGACGAGGAGTTGTCCAGTTGAAATGAAGCGAACACCAAGTGGGGCACACTGCTTGCTGGTTGGTTGGTTGGTTGGTTGCGTGAGTGAGTGAGTGAGTGAGTGAGTGAGTGAGTTTATCATTTAAGTCTTTACTACCACACAATCCTTAGGTGGGCCGTCTTTTGAGGCACAGGGGTGCACCCAACCCATTCTCCACATCAAATACACCCACTGCGTTCCAAATTTGTCGTTTTATGCGTGAGTGAAGGCAATTCTTGGCATCCTATGGCGCTCGTATGCTAACTTGTGCAGAAGGTACGAAACTATCGCATCATTTTGACAAAACGGCTAGCTAGCAGTCGTATTTCACGAGTGCAGTCATTGGAAGACATCATGCATTTAATGCCTTAACCTATGTCAACATTGGCGTGCGCATAGGTTGCGCGTACCCTTCTCATCGTCTGATGGAGGGAGGATTGCCCTCTTTGGCCTGTTTGTAGATGACTGAGAGGTGGTGCTCAATGCTGACAACCAAAACTTTTCAATCAGCACAAGACTAAATGGTAACTTTGCAAAAAAACTACTCCTTCTCACGCGAACGCATCCACAGGAGAGGGAGTGGGCCACTGCCATACCAACAGCACTGCTAAATAGCAAGTAGCATAGTTAGACCAACTCCATACTGCTTCTCTCGTTGTCGCTGGCTACGGCACTTGGATGTGAGGTTTGGAGATGAGAAGTCAATTCCACCTTGCTAATGAGGAGTTGGCAAATACAAAGTCAGTAGTAGAGGAGTGTATGAAGGAGAAGTACTACCAACTCTCTATCTCTATGCTATGGCTGAACAAGCACGGCACAGCGCGTTGGTTGGATGACTTTCTGACTCTCTCTGCACAGGTGGGCATTCGTGATATTTGGGGAAGACGATATCTTATCTAAGGTAGATTGTGTGTAGATATTTTGCCCTACAGAAATAGGAATACTGAGCCGACATCATCGGAGTGCGAAGCACCGCAAACAGGAATGGGCTGTCCGATCTTTTTTAACCTCATTCCTTCCCTCCCCATCTTCGCATCATGTAACACACTGTGGCTGTTTAGCCAAACAATGACATGGACGATAGTCGTAGCATTTCCAGACTTCCTTTTTAATAGCAGCTAATATTTGACATGTTTGAATAAAATGGGTGTATGTAAGACTACGTAATGTACAAAGCATTGCAGCACTTTATTTCAAACTACTGGCCTGTCTGATGGCCACTTTTTAGTGTCGACTTTGCTTTAGCTGAACGAGGTGGACCTCAAGCCTGACCAAAGTCCTAGCCACGTGACATACGGTGTTTGGAAGTCAGCTAGGGCAGCTCAATAAGATTGCGTTTGAAGAACAAATTAAGAGGCATTACGAGGAAGTCCACTTTGCATTTATGAATAAGCAGGGGACACAGGAGTAGAGAATGAACAGAGTAAGGTAGCGTTATCACATTAAGTAGTTTCAACTTTCGAAATTTGCTTGACGTAGGTGCTGCTCAGTTTCCCATTTTGGTCACTGAAATGTGGTGCAGCTCTGAACTGGCACCATTCTCCCAATTAAGCTCTTCCACTCCTCCCAGTGCACCTTTATGTATCACCATTTTTTCTTTTCCTTTTCTGCGTTTTGAGGCATTCAAGTTAAAGATCAGAGCAAACCGAGGTCTGTTTATAACCATCGTCTACATTATTGTCAAAACCGTCAGTATTTTTTCCTTGGAAAGTCAAAACGATCCCTTATTTTACTACACTACTACTACTACTCGACATAAAATGCCCACCTCCTATCGTCCTGTGTGATTCTCCACTTCTTCTCTCTCTCTCGCCCTTCTTCCCAGGTGTTCTCTTGCTGAACCAAAAGGCAGCGACACAGTTGAAACAGATGTGCTTCTCCTCTATCAGTTCCTGACGCTACATTCAGCTTCTTTTTTGAAGCGTGGACAAGTGAATTTTATGATCGGTCCGCTAGTGGTGTGAGCTTAAGAGGACGAACGATTCGCATTGATGCGTGCCCTATTTAAAGGTCTATCGCAACTCCAGAGCCGGTTGAAGGTGATGAGGAGATCTGATGCAACTCCTTATTCTCTAGACAGTTGGTAAGTGCCGTGATGGCTAATGGATGTTTCCTAGCAGTACCGAATATATTATGACGGATGGCGAGGATGATACACGGAGAAAAGTGCCGCAAAAGGTCATTCATTGTTATACGTTGTTCACTTGGCTACCTATTAAGCTCCCCTAGACTTTGCATTATATAGAAAAGACATTAATCTGAAATGTATGCACGTATTTTAGGAGAATAAGAAGGGCATGCGCCACGGATTGGTCCGAAGTCCAGCCTACGCGTAGAGGAGAAAGGCGAATACCAAAGCAACCACTTTGCATACAGGTGGTCACATAGACAAAGTATTTCAAACTTTGTGACCTGAGAGAAATTCGATTTTTTATTTTGCGATTGGCTGAGTAAGCTGGACTTCGAATTAAGTCAAAGATTAATATCTTCCGTTCGCTCAGAATGCGAGCACCCAACCACACTTAATGCTGCAATGCTTTGTTTATGTGAACACTTGATGTTGAGGATTACTTTGTACGCATTGGCCGGTCTTTAGGTCAGACTCAAGCTTAATTCCTTATTTTACTCCGTAAATGCATGTATTCGTCCCAACATGATGCCTACTTTTACCTCGTAGGAAGTCGCATGAAGCTACATATGCATTCTTCTGTTTAGCAAGAAGTCGTGGTACACATTGAGTCTTGCTTTTCTGTTCGCAAACAAGTACTTCAACCAAGCCTTATCCGTTCATTATATGATGGAAAACCCCAAAGAAAAGATATGGCAAAATACAAAACAAGATTTTCTTATTACGTCATGGGACGGTACAGTATTCCGCAGCTACTGTAGTAATAATCAGCGCTTAAACACGAAAAGTTCTGTAGAAGATTAAGAGCTACCTTCAGAAATAATGAGACGTGTTGGACAAACCATAAATTTAAGCAAGTAATAAGCTTGTAAATATTATAAACTTTGAGCATGCAGGCAGGATGCTAAAAATTTAGCGAACAATTACAAAAGGTTGTGATTTTTCGATTTTATTTATTTAAATACTGAATAAAGCATAACAACGTTATTGATGTCAATTAGAATAAACGTATAGCGCATGCACGTTTTAATACTGATAAAGAAGTTAGAGCTATCAAATCTTTATAATCTTATGCGCTTTTACGTTGTAGGTGTTGTTTATTGGAGTAAATGCAACGTTCTTAAGGCCATTGAAATGGGGTGCTGAATTTAATGTCATCGACGTTTACCTTACTGCCGCTGTGCATTGAATAAGTGGTAACACACAAATTCAATGAAACTTGAAGCAATACCTAACTCTTGTTGTGATATACACCGATGATGGTTCAACTCTTTTGATTTTATTATTATAACTTTTTGATTCCTTAAACATGAGCAACTGCTTCCTTTTCCTCCTATTTTACGTTATCCAAGCACGATGTGAAGATTGTAAGTCTAGTGGTGTCGTAAGTTACGTAATTTAGATCTAATGATGTTTAATTCCTCACTTTACTGTGGCCGACCTTCAGGCGTTGGTTTTTACAAAAACTCCAACTCAGATGATTTACTTCTCCACAACCAGATTGTTCTCTACTGGAATGTATCGGCCGCCTACAACTTTACAGCAGCTCCAAAGCATCATCGAGCATTTGGTCGAGTTGTGTGTCCCGGTGTATCAGTCAGGCCTGCAGGTCGCTATGTCAGACATTATTTAATGGATGGAGCGGTAAGTATACTAGTAATCGCATGAATTTACACGGACTTTTATTTGGAACGTTTTCTGATTTAAGTTAGTGTTTGCAATTTTAAATACTTGTTAAGTATAAGTGCAGATGACCTGGATGCTTGAACTAACACTGTTCCACTTTCGTAATACGATTTATTGCGTTTGCATGCTTAAAAGTAGTCGAGTCGAACCTCTGGGTCTATATCAACGAAGTTCTATCCTGAAAGTCCTTTTTAACAATAACGCAAAAAAATGACGAGTGGAATATCTTAGAGGGTCCAGTAGTAATAACTGACCTTGCAAGCAGCAAAAGAAGCTAGCGTTTCCACTTTTTCTCTCACCATATAGCGAAACACTGAACCGTTTCTAAGTATGCGACTTATGATTTCCTACCAGTTCTCTTTACATCGTATTTTGCAAAGTAGATCTCTTATCCTCTTTTCTGGAATAGGTCATTCTCCTTAGCACAAATCTACCCTTCTCCTCAAGGGATGGAATGAGTATTTGTCAGTACACTCCGCTTAAGGAGAACTGGTGTGATAAAAAGTTTTTCACCAATTGGCATAATGTTGGAGCTGGAAAGTGTCATTCTTCTTCTGATTTTTGCTACATTCCTATCTTGGGTACAGCGTCTTAATTTTCAAACTCTTCCGTCAATGCGGCATTCCGCCCCCTTGGTTTTCCTAACTTTACTACTTATAGGAGACTAGATTGTTGAAAACATCCCTACAATAGTGAACGTCTCTCCCAGTAGTTAACTATTCTACTTGAAAACATATTTTGTATATGTAATGAAAGAATATCACGAACAGTGCTGAAGACCAGAACGCGATTAAGCTGGGGAAGAAACATTTTGCGATTAGCTTAGTAACTCAGTCGCTTTGAAAATAAGGTTGCAATTTTTGTAAAAAAATCGGTTTTCCGCTCTTCACTCGTTTAAACAATTGAGTTTTCCTTAAGCATAGCAAATATTTAGATTAAACCACCTACTCTGTGATTTGGATTACCTTATGGTCTTACTTTGAAGCCAGGAGTCTACATTTTGAACTAAATCAGTTGTACAGTGGTTGACTTCTTAAAATTACTCTAAGATTTCCAAACGCCTCAAATTTTACTTTTACATTTTGTACTCTCTTTTGGTACCTTGCTTCCTTATTTAGGTCTACTTCTGGTTGTTACACGTGCGCGCTTCCATTGAATGTCCGTCCAGACGCCCCCCAAAGTCTGACGACTTCCAGCTGCGACTGAGCCAGTGGATTGATCGTTCGGAGGCCGAGAGCTCTCATAACGAGGCTGAGGAGGCATACGAACGTGGCGACTCCTTCCACCTCCCCGGACATAAGGTGAGTCCACTAAAACAGTATTTAATTTGTTAACAGTGTCGCCTATACACTTGCTTGTCTGAACCTTTGCTTTACCAGCGTGACAAATGATTACAAATTCGTTTAGCTGGTTCATTTTGATATCCATATAATGGAACAAGTCTAGGGGCTCTGGTCACCGAATGCTCCCTTAAGGCGGAGCTAAGCATTGACTTAGCAGATGAGGTGGAAATTTGAGAGAACAGTTGGCTTGAAATTGAAGTGGTCACTTTATTGTCGTAGAATGAACACCCGCTTGGACGTCCACAGCCAAGAAGGTGGTAACGCTGCCATGGAGTCCGAACTCATACTTGAATGCGCCATCTTAGGTGAATATTTATGGAAATTTCATTCCTTCACAACCCCCTTGTCAACCTAGTTGTAGGCTGGAATTGTCTTCAAATCGTATTCAACTTCTTTGTGGCTAGGCTTAATTTTATGATGTGATCTGAGGTTATTCATGCAAATAAACCCTTTGTTATTAAAAAGTGGATCATGATTCTTGGAAGATCTTTGGCTTTTTTGTCTCTCAATTGAATTTGGCTCGAAAACGCAAAGCGGGCGAAAAGCAAATAAAGCTGTAGTGCAGCACTGCCCTCACTAATGGCTATTATGGCTGATTGGATGTTGCTAATGGAATATTTTGAATTCCATTTTCGCTACTGGCACGTCTATTGTCACTGAAGTGTCGTCTTGGGTCCACGCTTCATTGCTCTTAGCTCGTTGTGCAGAGACATTGGTTCTAGCTCTTTTTTTGACCGAACAGCGGATCTCAGACACTTCCAGCAAAATCAATTTCCTCTAGTTTTAGGCATGTTTAGCTCTTCACCTCCATTACCATTCCTACCTGCATTTATTCGCATTCGTTTTCGTGGGGTAATAGCTTCTGTAACGTCTCACTGATTGTGCAAAATCTGGTGCAATGGCGACTGAGTATGTGTTCACTAATTTGACAATTGAATGACGGAAAGGAAGTGAAGGCATCGTTGTTACTAAAGCGCTCACAAGACCTCTGTGGTAGATAAAAACTTCAAGCCCAACTATACATTCGTTTTTACAGGAACCCGAAAATCTAACACTATCCTGCTCCTCCCCACAACGGACCGTCACTCTTCAAGGTCGATTGCGTCTCCTTGTCGTCTCCTGGGACATATTCCCTAGTCGATTTTCTGACCAATCGGATAACGACACCTTGACGTCGGCCAATCAGCTCTTTGCTGAATTTAAAACGCTCCCTGCGGATCTCAAAATCCGCGTTCAGATCACCTCTCGCCTTCACTTTGATGGCGACCTCTCCCAATCCCGAAGTGCGTCAGATGTCTTATACTTACATCTCATAACTTGATTCCTTAGGAGAGCTTTAGTGAGACACTAGGTGTGTTCAACTGGAAACATTTTTATTATTCGTTGATTAAGGTGGGAGTCGAAAGATGTTTGTTAGATTTTTCGACCGCACTGTTTACAATCGTTGTTCTCTTAAGACACACGCTAGCAGTCAAGAGAATGAGTAGAGAGAGTAGCGATGATTTCTTCCCATTTTTTAACCTTGTCACTGTTTATCTTGGAGGTGTATGCAGACTAACCTAGAACTGTAGGTGGGGAACGAGCCTTTATTTGCTCCTATCCATGTACTCACAAACGTGATTAAAGTAAGTCTTTCTTTTGGACATCAAATTAAACATTTTACTCAATCGCCTTATCAGAATGGGTTGTGCTCAGAGCTGTTAATCCTCCTCTGCGAGTGAGAGTCGTATAAAGCGACTCCTCAGTACATCTTCACCATCTTTGTGGCTTCAATTTTTAAGATGAGTGCTGTAAGACGTTGTAGTGTATTAGTGAATTAGCAAGTCATGATTGAATAAAGGGTGCCTCTTCACCAGCATTTGCAGCGAATTTCCTTCGCGTATAATTTTGATGAAGAAGAACCAAGTTTCTTTAAGGATATAATAATGGACATGTGGCTTAGTTGAGAAATCAAATGTTGGTTCAACATTCTGAGCGTGGTACCATGGCATTGCCGACACAGTTCTATTTTGATAGTAAAACACCTGTCTGGAGTGGGAACTGTGTGGAGTTTCGCATTGAGATGGTTAAAATGCTTTGATATCAGGGTCTGGTGGCTCTCGTTGTCTGACTTTCACGCAAAGGTTATGAGAGAGTCCATAATCGTTGCAGTTTGTCGCAAGACCGTGTTAGCCCCCTTAAAACATAAATGGCTGTGTTATGGAATTTCGCTTTGCCTTTAGTAAACTTGATTGAGTCTATTTTCTCAAACAAAATCGATTTACGTCAGGAATGAATGGGATTTAGAATGGACGCTGAAATCTAATTCAGTAGCACTGTCTGGTTATTTATACTACTAAGTATTTGTTGTTAAAGCAGCTTATCCGCTATTGTTATATGCACAGGAATTTTTGCTTGTTTTTACTTAAAATAGATGTCAGGTTTCCACTTCTTAGGTTAAAATGTCACAAGACACCGTTCCCGTGAAAAGGCGTTACGGTTAATGTTCCACTTCGATCACCATAATTTAGGTAATGCTCATACTAAGGTTATTTGGAATGGCTCTTGCAGTCTGTTTTACACGCCTGAAGTAGCTGCAGCATAAATGCTTCAACTCGAGAATATCCATTTCTGTCAGCTTGCTTCCACTGGGATGGAGGCGAAAGCATTGAAGCTGTTGCTACGACTTCTGCACTTTTAACAGTTAGCTTTTCTCCCTCTTTGGCACTATTCGTGAAACGGTGAGGAACGGTTTTGCGGAAGTGCTTGTCACAGCACTCTATGCCTTGTTGTTGCGCATCCTCATGAAGTTTGCAATGAATGGACGCATGCACGTGTCGCCCTTGTTCAGTTTGAAATTCTCACGAACCATGTCAATGCTACCGCCTTAGCGGAGGGCTTTCTCTCCCCCTTGAAGCGCTGGCAGAGGTTATTTTTCACCACCTCACTCTCCCTACGCCAGAGCCGCTCACTTTGCTCGGCGGCGCTTTGAGGTGTTGCGTGCACTGTGTTCGGCTTTACCACCTCCTTCTACAAAGGCTCTCGTAGTTGGAAATGGATCGACTTTTCGGCAGCATAGCATATCCTTCTTCCTTCATTAGTCAACCTCCTCTTTGCTTCACTTTTTGCCATTGTACTGGCTAATTTGTGCGTAACGATGAGTTATTCCAAAATACCAGCCTAAAAACCATAATGGGTTTGTTTTATGTGCTTCAAGGTTTGCTAAAATAGACTATTGTTTTGCCTCCTTTCCAAAAAAAACTTTAAAAAAGGTTTCGCGGGAGATTCACGTCCTTTGGGAGCTGAAAAACACGTCTCCCGGGAGCGGTGCCATAAGTGCTTTTTTCAACTGTCTGGTTCACGATGGGGAAAAGAATTTCTACCCTTATTCTCGAAGGAGTTTACGGATTATTTGAAATTGTTTTGATAAGTCGATTAGCTGTTTGACAATAAGTGGAAATGTTTTATCTTGTTTATTTTATTGCTTAAAACGGTGACTAAATCTTGCATCAGTTTTCCTACCAACCTTCCTTACCACACGGTGAGGAGCATGAAATACTGCCAGAGAAATTTAATCTCTTCGAAAAGAAGTGGACTGCATTTCCTTCTTACCTAGGTATGGGGCACAAGTCACGCAATCAACGCTTAACTCTCCTTAACTTTTCCAGCTCTTTTTTTTCTCGTGAAAAAGCCTTTCCAGTCAATTATTTGTCAGTATATGTGGATCATATTGCAATTGCTTGAGTCCATTGAGGATCATGCGACAGAACTGTTTAATAGTTAATGTGATGGCACATCGATGTCCAGAGCCTACTCCTCACTCAATTGCCACCTGTGTTTATCTTTCAAATTGGCAAATTGCCTTCCACTTTATAGGGCGCCAGCTGTGCGAGTTTTATGGCTTTTGGTGTAATGGTAGCCTCACCGAAGACTCCTCTCATCGTCGTAGACAGCATCGACGCAGTGACAGTGGTGATGAGATCACAGGAACGTGCATCCGACCTTCCATGCGTTGTGATGGTCTTCCCGACTGCTGGCTCGATGATCCCCTAAATTCTCCTGACGAGGTTGGATGCAGTGGCATTCACCCACCAGATAGTGCGGAGGCTCTCTCACCCTTTGAAAGTTTCAATGAGTCCTTTCCCGCCGCCTCATGTAAGTAACATTTGAGCGAGGAAAATTAGTTTGGGCTTTTTTGATTGGCTGGTCCAGCGAACCAATCAGAGAGCTGGCTTTAAAGTATTGGCATGATGGCACTCAAGTTGGGCACTAACAGTCTTGATTAATAGAGCTGCATTACAGTCTTCGGTAGGTTTTGAGATGACTCGTTTGCTGTCCCTTTTATAGTTTGGGATCGACCATAACTACTGTTGGATTTTAAAAAAAAATCGTACAAATACGACTGTCTGTAGCACTACAACTTGTCTGTAATGGCAGTACGTCATGCCAATGCGAGTGACGGTATGTTACTAACTACAGAATGGGTAGTAGGACATAGGCGTGGTCAGTCATGACGGAAGTACAAACACACCTTATATGATTGCTGGACGATATTATTTTCCCTCATTCCTCAAGCGTTTCGAAGCGGGCGACTACCCTGGACACAGTAAACTGACATAAGAGTTGGTAAATAGCTTCGCGTACTTTCTTCTTGAAGAAACAATGGTCTCGTCGCACTGCAAGTGGACGGTGATCCCTCTCTTCCTTCTTGCCTTTCTGCTTTCAATTTTGGTAGGCATTTCATCGAAATGCGGCCCAGCAAAGTTCTTAGCATTATCGAAGGTGATAAGGTGGTTATTCTAGAATGGAAAGGGGGAGGAGAAGGAAGAGGAGGAGGAGGAGGAGGAGGTTGAACACTTAAGTCTTCAAATTGAAGATGTAGTTGAGGGATTAAGGCAATTCTCACCTGAGTTGGGGAATTCACATGCAAGGAAGACGTGTAGGTGAATTTTGGCCGGATTTGGGCAATAGAGATGTTGTGTTGCCTTTTTATGTGTATCGGGAAGAATTATGGGTCTGATGGGCATAAAACCGAGGGCAACAAACGGCCAATGGAATGAAGAAGTGGAAAAGGTGGTAGGGCTGAAGGATTTGAAGCCGCGAGTTGGGCATTGACACGTGCTCTTTATTGCCATGGCGTAGGTAGGAGTAAGATGCTCTTCATCTCAGAATCGCTGCTTTATATTCACTGAGTGACCTAATTTCAGGTAGAAGATAATGGCTATGGGATGTGAAGGTGGCTTTTCAAATTATTTGGCACTCTGACTTGTCGTAATGCAAACTTGAAAGTACTTGCCTTTAGTGTGCATTTATGAGGTTCGAAAAGGTCAGGAGGGATGCGATTTCCTCGTCCATCTCTTCCTACATGCAGACTGCTGCCTTCATTTCGCTTTATGTAAATTTCCTCTCTCGTTCTCCCCATTTTATTTCACTCTTTGTACACATCGTGAGTAAAGGAGCTAAGAGATGTTGAAAGCTGGATTACAAAAGCTGCCTAAGATTGAGGAACCAGCGACATCTTTTTAACTGAAGAGGAAGTCGCATTACGTTTACCTCTATATCGCGTTTTGTGGCTTGAGGTGATTCGCAGAAAGTGCTTGAGCACTTTAAAACAGTCACATGAAGTGTAGGTGTGGAGAACGCAACGAGAAGGGGAAGAGAGAATGGGAGATGTTAGCAGAACCCGATAGAAGAAGGGTTGGAGGACCCACTTCACATCTTCTTCAGGAAGAAAAACAAATTCTAACATCCCTTTGGCCCACTTGACTGTTTTCTCTAAGGTCATAAGACGAAACAGGCTTCCGTTCCTCCATTTCTATCCTCGACTCCTCCTCTCCCCTATGAATGGCTCGATGTTCACTGTAGAAGGGCGATCATCATCTTTAACACTGGGTAGAATCCTCCTTGATTTATCACTTTCGTTGTTCCCTTTAAGTTGAAGTGGTTTAGTGAGCTTGCTTGAACCTGACTTTTTTGTCATGCAGGTTTTAGCGTCTTGTTTGAAAAGTAGATGATGGTGATCCTGACAGTGCTTTGTGTTAGGCTAAAAATTATGCTTTACGTTTTAGCACCTCCGGGACGAGGGCAATCGTGGACTGCAAAGCTCCCTTGGATGGGTAAGTAGAACAGATTTTTACTCGATTGTTCTCATTTACACATTCTTTAGCTACCCAAAGTGCGTCAAATAGCGCTCATTTATTCCTTGCATTTAAAAGCCCTCTTTACTAGACTCACGAATGTCCTCATTTGTTGTTACAACACAGCTGAAGGTTTCGACGAGCTCTGCAGAGCAATTCGCATAACCTTTGACTACGACGTACCAAGGTGTTCAACCCTTGATTGTATTTGCTGAAACCAGTGGCTGGGCTAGCTGCCGTTTCAATTTAGCACAGGAGATGTCATTCTCGAACAAAAAGATGTGAAACCTCAGATAACTTTTCAGATGCTAGTGGGCACGTCAACTAGTTGGCCAAGGATGAACCATAAGTCCCGTAAAATGGTGCTATGATAATTAGGACCACTGGCAGATGCTAGCTCTCAGCTTTTCAACAACTGAGAAGGACGTAACGCTTCCCTCAATTTATTGCTGGCATCGACCTTGCATAAGGCCTAGTCAACCACTGCCTTATTTGCCTTGCCCTTGACAGAAATTGGGAATAGATTTTTAAACGTAGGCAGGCATAAGGGAGTGGCTTGTCTGTCCTCTTGTTAACTTTATGCACAGAAAAGGAATGGAACTAACGAAGGTGAAAATTTAACTTTGAGATTTTCGTCTTGTGTCTTAGCAATAAGCGGTTATGATTTGTGCAAGAGGGTGAGAGGGAAGTGGCAGCAGTCTTCACCATAACTCCCACAGGCGTAGGACGACATGGTTGCATTTTAAATCGACCACGTGAATGTCAAAGTGCCCTTAGGCAATCCTTGTGCTGTATTCGATTATCTGGGCAGCGCAGTTCTCTTCATTTGGATCGGTGCTTAGGCTGTCTGATAATGTAGGCGTGTTTGCTTATAAAGGCGAATTATACCTTTCCCTTTGCCTCACATTCCCGCTACACGTGTCGGGTTCATTTTCGTCTGTTTTGAGTATGTTTTGACATTCTTATATGCGGTCATCTGAGATTTTTAAAGGTCTTTTTTCATTTATGACCGCCAACTTAGAAGGTTTATTTAGGAGTTGAGTACGGATTTAGACGAATAAAATAATCTAGGGTGTTATACATGCAGGAATTCTGCAATGCATACAGAGCTGGGATCATATTTCCTAGTTTGACTGCAGGAGGTCGATTCAGTTATGCTTCGGATCCAGCTCATTTGTTCTTTGAATGCATTAAAACTGCCAATGGGCGGCGCGTGTGCTTAGTTCGAAAGTTTCTCAAAAGGCGTGTATACGACTTAAGATGGGTCATTCCTAAGAAGCGGTTCAGGTTGCGTATTATCGATGGTGAGTGTCCCTATTTTATTTGACGATAACAAGCTGTATTGTTTGTCATTTCCCCTCTAATCGTACATTCGGGTGTGGCAGTTTGAAAAGTTTAAACTTATCCATTACGCTGAATTGACAGTAGGCATTATGACACTCACCATACCACAGTTATCAAAGTGACTCAATGCCTAAAGAAGAAGGGTTGGGGTACTGTTATAGGTATTATCTTTGGACATTCATTCCCTTTGGATGCAAGTCGTCTTGCGAATTATCCGGATTGATGGTGTTGTCATGCGATCGTTATATCAGGTAATTCTGAGTTTTTTATTAACAGCTGTACACTATCATTCTGATTTCCCATTGGTTCTGCTTCACGGAGTAGAGGGATATTCTTGATCAGTGGCGGGATACTTTGCCATGCACCTGGGCGTGCATTTGGCTAGAACGTACGCGAGGAAAATGCTGTGGAATTTCCAAACTAGCACTTTGACGGCTGAGTATGCAGGCTACAATTTCGCCTTTTCCGAAGCTGATATAATGTCATCGAATACTCTGCAAGGTTTGGAAATCGGTCTATGAACTAAATTATGATGAGCGTTTTTTTTGCGAATCAAGCAGGGATTTAACAGTCTAGTATTTGTGGCTGTCATTTGTGCCATCGGAACTGTGGGTCCTCGTCTGATTAGTGCGTACGCGTCAGGATGATATCATTTCCACAAACGAATATGTTTACAAACCGTTTTTTCTCCACTGTTGAAGTGATAGATAAGGGTTTGTTGGAATCTTTCATGAAAGCAAGCACTTCTCACCTGACGGAAGCCCTCGTCCTGTAGTTGTGGCCTTTGTGCCAGCTGTTCTGCTCTGCGCCTTGGTGCGAATTTGCTCTCAACGTCGTCAGTTGGACTTCGCAACTGTTGATGGAGATCTGCACGGTTTGGAAGGTGGAGACACCTGTACCCTAGGAGGTGGGCTTCTGCGTCGTCCACACAGTCTGCCGGCGTTTGAAAATGCCGGATACAAAAAGGGGCAATCTGGTGGTCGTGGTCGGAATTTTCTCGCCATCGCGCTTCGTCGATCTCGGTCTACAGAGGACGTGGTTCCGCATCCACCCACCACCATGGAGACACTTCCGATGCAACCGCTTAAAGGTGTGGAAGCGATGATGTGGAGCAGTGGTGGTGGTGGTGGCGGTGGTAACTCCTCCCATCTTCTTGCAGAGGATGTTGTCCTTCGTGGAGAAAGGGGGATGCAGAAGAGGGACAGTTGTAGCTTCCAGCTAGCTCCAATGGTGCGTCGCAGCCGCAGTCGCAGTCGTGGTGGTGGAGCTGGTAGTGGCGGGGGTGGTGGTGGTAGTAATGCAGTGAACAGAATGATAATGTCGTGTTGGAGTGGTGATTTATCCATCAGTTCTACGACATCGTCGACAAACTCTCCGATCACACGCGGAGAAATGGAGGTGGAGGGTGAGGGGGAGGATGATTGTGATGTCTGCCGGCAGATGCGCGAGTCGGCATTAATGATGACATCAGGAGATAAGGCGGAGTCATCGAATATACGGGTAAGGCGTTCTTGTAATTTCTCCTTTAACTGGTTGGGTGAGTTGAGGTTCTCTTATGTTCGTTTTGGCTTGCCTTTTAAAACATTTCTTTCCCGATGTTAGGGTTTTGGATTCTTTTGCTTTCTGTTTTTTTGTTTGCTACCATGAAATGGTTACACTGGTAGAAAGCGTTGAGTCTTTGGCTTTGGAAAAGGTCAAATTGCAAATGTCGGTCTCCTCTCACATTTTACGACGATGGCTAATCACTTCTAACTTGGTAAACCTTTCAGTTCTTTAGCACGCGTCGATAGGCTCAGTGCTGCTTCCGGAGGGAAAGGAGAGTCATCTTACGGAAGTTAGCTCCCTTTTCTGTTGGAGGAGTATGGCATCCTTTTCATAGACTTGGAGGAAGAAGGGATTTTGATGATAAATTGTGCAGGTGTTTGCCAACTTCGATTTGATGGCTCTCTGTTGATTCTTCGTTACGTCCTGTGATTGATGCATGGAATTTGAAGCGGATATGTCTTCAAAACAATAAGTCATTCTTCATGACGCCTCACGTGGTAAAAGTTGTAGTCAGAATTGGTTGGTTGTTTGTTGTTTGCTTCTGGTGATGGTGTTGTGGATTAGGGACTTTTGTTTCAAAGTGTGGGGAGCGAGCTTGCTGTACTTTCACGTGGGATGGTGAGTTTTTAGGGTGTCAATCAGGATAGTCCTTTGCTCTCCATGAAGAGATGGGAATTTTGGTTTGATGGGGTCACTATGTGTTGTTGCATGCTTTTCGACACCGAACTCTTCCTGATTACCATTTGGTATCCCACCCTTATAAAGACTGCATTTATTTTCCAAGTTTGTTGCCCTTTAGGTGTTCAGTTTTGGTTGAGACTTTTCGTTTACTGCTTCCCTATCAAGGTGTGTGGAGGAGTTTAGTGGCAGTCGGGAACATTCTTTTCCCACCGCTTTTGTAAGGTTTTTCGGTGTTATTTTTAACATCATATTTTCGACCTGTTTGGTGATAGTAGACGCGACGCCTGGATGTGGTTGAGGCCCTGATTGCCATGCAACGCTATGCAAGACGGAGTCGGACCGGATGCTTGTCTTCCCACCCGAGGTGGCTTACGATTTCTACTTTGATTGGTACATCGGTAGTAGGAGGAACTTTTTGGACTTCGCTTTAGCACTCGCTATTGTTTCATTTTTTGCAAAGTGGAATTAACTTACTTCCCACATTTTCTCTGCCTCAATTTGAGCCATTTGGCAACATGGCACAAATAATAACGTTATACTCTTTGCTTAAGAAGTAAGGCCGATCTTGACCTAACAATTTGGTCTGCGACTTTGCTCCTTACGGTGATAGAAACGTTCATCCCTTGGTGTTGCAGACTGTCTGTAGCCACCTGATGATCTCACGGCAGAAGTGGAACTTCGTTTTTCTTCTTTCATTTTTTGTGCCTTGTCTGACACCGTCAGTGCTGTGAATCATTGGAAGCCTTGGTAAAACCAATTGTTGAATAGGCGGCACAAGATTGTCAGGACATGTTCCCCTTGGGTAAATGAATGGCTCGTGTTTTGGTTTTCTTTAAGGGGCTTCTTTTAATCTCTGCCTGTGTTGTGCCTCTCCTTCACTGCCACTTTACGGGGTAAGTGCAATACCAAGTCAGAGGGTTTGTTACCTTCCTTTTCGTGCTCCATTCTGATCGCCGCACTTTATCGCTCTCTTTACATGCACAGCTTCAATGTTTCAACGTGTGGATGTGTGTGTGTCTCGATTGTTGCTTTCCTCCTGGTTTTGAGAGGTTGAGAACCGACTTCTCCCATTGTGTTTTCTGTATTTGCCTTTGGTGATATGTTTAGGTGACTACTAAATCGCGATTTCTTCTAGCTCACATCAGCGGTAGTGACAATTCCTTTTTCACCACCTCTACGCTGAAGCTGTTAATTTTCCTTGTGATGGGACAGTAGTTAATCGTCCCTTCGATTTCAAGGCGTTGGGGTTGGAGATTAAAATTAGGGTTTTCAAAAGGATACATCCTTTGACTGTGAAATGAATGCAAAACGATGCCTGAGAGGGAATTGAATTGTTTTGCGAGGTGGTGTATCGTTGGAGATCAGACTTTGAAGCAATCCTATTTCCTCTGGACTGTCAGCAAAAATGGTTTGGTGTTACGTCGCGGTGAGGTTCCTTTGTCCTGACAAGCGTCCGTCATCTGGAGTAAGTGTATTCAATTACCTTCACTCCCGTTTGTTATGGACAGATGTGAACGAGATGGCGGTCGGTCCTGCTGACTCGGCAATGGCCCCTTTTCATTGAATAACTAAGTGTGAATGTAGATCACAGGCCTTGATTTCTCCTTGTCATGCCTTTGACGTAGGCCCAAGGAAGGGTAGTAGCAAAGTAAAAAATGTCTTTGAACACCCAAAATGTCATAACTGGTTGGTGAGATGAGGATTACACATCTCTGAGGGTAGTAAAGGGAAGCTGGTCTGCAAAGATGAAGGAATGCAAGGGAATGGAGGGTCAGCTGGTCTTGTGAGCTATTCTAGGTGACGGCATTTAGTAAAGTGGATTTGTAAATCTTGCGGCTGCATGCACTCTGTCAGGGTGGTCAACATGCTGTATGTATTACAATGTTAAATGGGTTGTAAGAAGTCCTTTTGGTGGCATTGATTTAGTCGAACAGAAGTCACAGCTCCTGTTCCGCCACTTCAACACCTTCCACGACGTCAACAAGTCCATTTACTCAACAAAGCGCCTCACTGGATAGGCCTACCAAAGTCCAAACAACGGTGGCGACGAGGACGATGATGGTGTCAGAAAGTGATGTGGAGTTTCGACAGAATGGAGTAGAGAAGTGGTCGTGCAAAACGCCAACGAAGATTTCGGAGGACCCACTGTTGGACGCGTTGAAGGAGAGAACGGTGCAATACGACACTCACCGTAAGAACTTCATGTTGTCATGATAACGTCTAACGCCGATCCATCAAGCACAATAAAACAACCTTCTCATGTAACCGTATTTTACCACAAGGCTTTGATCAGAGTAGTCGTAAAGTTGAGGGGTAATGGTAATACTCTGAGCGCATATTATGGGTGCATGGTTTTGCGATGAATTGAACATCTATTGAAAGGTGAGAGAAGAGGGAGAATGAGGTCGGTGTGGGACTATTTTTGAACGATGAGTCGGGTAGGTTATGCGTTTGTCGCTTTTTGGAAGTGGATGGAGGATGGGCGAGAGCGTGTTGAGTGTTGATCTCTTTGTCGGCACTTTGGTCGATTCTTAGTGTTGTCTTCGTGAGAGTTGCGAGTGGTGCGTACCATGCTGACGTGAGATGTGGAACGGCAAAGGGGGCCGAATTGAGACCACACTCAGGTAGAAGAGTAAAGCGGATCCGGGTAACAGAAGCGAAAAAATGGACTGGGTCACTATTGCACCTTGGCGATCCAAATTAATAAGCGAAAGAGCCACGCTTCAACCCGTTCACGAACTACCACACTTTCACCAGTCCCTCGCCAAAGCCTCTACTTAGGATCAAGAAGCTGAAAGCGCTTCCCCCAAGTATTCAGTGATGGGTAGTCCTCGAATGTTTCCAGACACAAAGCATACAAATCAGAAATAGCAGCTCTGGTGTACGTTGCAACACTTCAACACCTCGTCTCAGCCATAACTTTGGGTGATCCTAGGCACACACCCTACCATCTGCTGAACAACTTCATTGGCTAGCCAGGACAATAACGCAGAAGTGAGTGAGGGCAAGCAATGTAATTTAAACTGAGAAGTTAAAAGTGATTACAAAAATGAGCAAATTCAGCCCAAAGCAAAGGTATATGAAAATGATACCAACAGTAGGTGTAGGCGTAAGTATACATAGTACTTCAGCATCCACACAAACAAACGCACCCTGTGGGAAATGAGGAAGCGAGAAGTCGCCTTAACCAGAGTTCAGGCACTCTAAAGGCGCACAAGTGCGATTCCCACAGCATCATTCTTATCCACTTGGCAGTATCCACTATGATCGTAAAAACCACATCCTGTTGTGATGATACACACATCGTACGGCTAAATAAACAAAAACAACTCATTTATACCAGTGGACACCTATCCAATGTTGTAACATTTCCAGCATTATTACTTTGTAAGTCGGCAAGTACTTCCATCGCTCTATTTGCTGGTTTCACTAAGGCAGGGATCACGACCTTGGATTTCTCAAACTTCCATTAAGGAACGCAGATAACTAAACCCCAATTCAGTATCAACATAATCTCGGCGCAACACCGACCTATCCGACGCAGATTCGCATTAAGCAAAAGTGATGCGCTACCTCACGTATTCGATTTTCTCCCTCTCTCATAGGCATAAAGTTATAGGTCTCCAACGAACCACCAACCAAGTGCGCCAACAGTCAGGAATGCTAATGAATACTCCCACACCAGTTGCAACAAAATGACTTGTTATAAGCCGACCCTATCTAAGGCGAAGTTTTGGGATGATCTTACCACTTAAATCACTTGAGTGGCATAACAGTAGCATAAAGTGTATGTCAACGCCTCAGACATTATTATCAATTGTATTTGCAGAAGGTGAGACTCAGCCCACAAGCGAACTCATTTTCGCCTCCCCTAAGTTCCCCATCGTCATTGTCACCACATGGCGATCAGTGTTTTCTCAGCTATCACTGCATGTCCGAACATGCACAGTCTACCCATCCGATACCGCTTCGACAGCAAATCTCTTAGATAGGTCGCAGCGATGGCAGACAATATCCTAAAATGCATGCAATGACCTTCGAAATAGCACTACTCAGTAAGTAGTTTAGTTCGACGTTGTAAATTCTAGACTGGAAATAATGTTCTGAATTTTGATTTTTAAGTATATAATCTAAAAACGACAAAAAAACAAGGATCGCAGCCGTTTTGTAGGTTTTTTTTAAAATTTGGTACACTTTGCATTTTAAACATAACGACTTCAGGTGTAGTAGGTGTAATGTTTTGCTTATGTGACTACCTGACGTTCGGTGGTCACTTCAAGATTTGTCTGGCCCTTGTACGTGTGAGCTGACCTTCGAGCTATGCTTAGGTCCATTTGCTCTGTCCTCTTTGGAATACATACATTCAGCTTCACTTGCTAACTTCTTCCACTTTATTGGAAGTCACGGAACGCTGGAGTAGGCTTTCATGCCTTGCAATGGAAGGCAACATGCGTAAATGAATGCATGAATACAAAAATTTTGTGGTGCGGCTTTAACGCGATCCGATTTCCAGCCAACTCCTGCAGTAACAAGCCTGCAGCTACTTAAAAAGCCAAGTGACATACTCATTTACACGTCAACACGCATCCATGTCCATGGATGTATATAGCACAAACTAGTGTTTAAGTTTGCCTTTATGGATAAGAAGCGCGAAATCAGTTTAGACACGACCCAGTGCGCAATGAGTTTGAGGATTCCTTCTCTGAGTGACATCTGCTTTCCAGCTCTTCTATCATCCCCATTTCCTTTCCTTCCGCACATAATGCCAAATAAAGTTTCCACATCTAACCCTCTTCTGAAGTCTGAGGCTCAGAAGTATGAGGATAAACAGGCAGACTCTACACTGGTGACAGAGTTGATCAACAACCCCTCTTTTAAGTTAACATGGATTTCAGTGACTGGCCTAAATTCACATAGGCGGATCCCGAGCTCCATGTTGCTGCACAAGAAGTATCATTTCTACTCCGTGGCTAACCCTACAACCTACGCCACGAAGCAATGAACACGGGTATCACTCTCTCCTCGGTCATTGAAAAATGCTCTGAGGTCCTCGCAAAATGGCATCTCTAGAGAAGGAACAGATTTTGGCTTTAGATTTCTTCCAGCGGCTCCAAAAACCTGGAGAGTTACGAAAATTTTGTGGGTAGCTTTCAGCTGCTAGCCAAACAGAAGTTCAAAAATTGCTGTCCTCTCCGAGTAGCTTCATGGATAGCGGCCCGGTTCAGAAGAGGCGTGCATACTCTCGCCTTGGCAGAACAATTGGTGCAGGTGAATACAGACAGATTGAGTCGCCTTATTGACGTGGCGATGAATAAGCGCTAGGAGCTGCAAATCTCAACGTAGTTTAACACCCGTTTTAGCCCGTAGACTCCTAACAGACGGCCAATACCCAGCAGGCAAACGTGTGCGCTTCCAGGTGGTCCCCAACATATAGTAGGCCATGGTCTTCTTTGTCATGCCTGTTTCCTCTCGATTTTCTTACTTTGATGCCAATGGTTTGTAACAAGGTTCGCCTTACTCCGCCAGATACTATACTACGATATGCGGAGAGAAAAGAAGTACCGGTAGTAAGAGAATCCTCCATCAGAGTCTCGATCGGGAAGGAAAGTTGGGAGGTCAATTTCGTGCTGTGCCCAGAACTTGCCTGCGACGTACTGCTCGGGACCGACTTCTTACGCCAGATATGCGCGACTACGGGGTTCGATACAGACATGTTTACAAACCATTGTTGGCCCAAGAAGAAGCGTCTGTTCCCTCAACTAAACGAAAATTCAGGCTACATATGCCGTTTAAGGAGCTGAAGCGCGCTCTCTGCGCGGCGTTAATCTTGACTTTACCAAAATTCAATGCCGAGGCTACCATAATATTGCTCTGCAGAAGAAAAAGAAATCTCGGTAATAGGAGAAGCACATATCAGAGTTTCAATCCGGAATGACAGTTGGGAGGTGAATTTCGAACTGTACCCAAAACTAGCCTGGAACGTACTGTTAGGAGCTGACTTTTCACGCCAGCCCCGAGAGGATAGGGACTTCGATACAGGCATGCTCAAAACCGACCGATGGTCCAAGAAGAAGCGTTCGACCCCTAAACCAAGGAAAGACGCAGATGATATATGCAAACCCCTTTTCGTTGCACTTGCCATCCCCGGAACAAATCTAAACGATCTCTGCGCTCAACTAAAACAGGTTACTGAGCTGAAGAATGACTCACAAGTGTTCTTCTGGGAAGGAGCGAAACCGGCCAACCGGTCTGGCAGCCCCCTAGACGCATACCTCCACTCCTCCAAGGCGAAGTACATCGATTGATTGACGATAACGTAATCAGGCCATGCCAGTCACCCTGGGCCTCCTCCATCGCAGTAGTTAAAAAGAGCGATGGCAGCCTACGTCTATGCGTCGATTATAGGAGGCTCAATGTAGTAACAAAGAAGGATGCGTTCCCTCTACCCCACATTAACGACTCGTTGGACTCTCTGCAAGGAGCGAAGTGGTTCTCGACGTTGAACCTGAAATCCGGCTACTGGTGGGTGGAGGTAGCGGGTAAGGATAGGGAAAAACAGCCTTCATTGCGCCAAATGGACTATATGACTTCCAAACGATGCCTTTTGGGCTTTGCAATGCGGCGGCCACCGTCCAGCGGCTTGTGCGGATGGCAATGCGCGGTCTGTTCCCGAAACACTGCATTATCTATCTGGACGACATTCTCGTTTTCGGGAGAGACATTTAACAGCATAACTCCAACCTCCGATTAGTAATGGATTGCCTTCGGGAAGCAGGTCTGACGCTCAATCTAAAGAAATGTCGTTTTCTCCACAAGTCGGTCACGTTCCTGGGACACACGATATCTGCAGATGGGATGGCAGTCACGGAAGGCAGAACAAGAGGAGGAAGGACTTGGCCGACACCTACAAATCAAACGGAACATCATAGCTTCCTTGGTTTGGCTAGCTATTATAGGCGTTTTGTAAAAGGTTTCGCCAACATCGCAAGTCTTCTATATAAGTTGGCAGAGAAATAAGGAAAGAAAAGGAGTTCCGTTGGCATAACGAACACACAGAAGCGTTTAAGGAGTTGAAGCGTGATCTCTGCGCGGTGCTGATCTAGACTTTACCAAACTTCAATGCTGAGGCTCCTCCTTTCGTGCTGGACACAGACGCAAGCGATGAGGCGGTGGGTGGAGTTCTACCCCAAAGAGACAAAGACGGGGGAGATCAG